TTCTGGAAGCACACGACGCTGCGTGGGAACGCGGCACGACGCCATGCTGGCGCGCTCTACGTGCTCGTTGTTCACCCAAAATTACTCTCACTGTTTGTCTCGTCACATGTATCTGTAAAGTTTCTTGTTTATGAGCTTTAGAAACACGATATCATTATATGAGAGCGTCAAGAGTAACGCTCAAATATAAAACTGGCCCTTTTCATCATCTGTACGATGATGAAAAGGAAATATACGAACATTTGCAAATTAATGAACCGTACTTGATTAAATGGAACAAAGGTTACGATGCCGCCGAAAAACGAAATCTTTGACGGAGCCGGGATTTGAACTGCGGGTCTCCCAATATTCGGCAGGGTATGCTAGCCCACTACACTTACCAGCATATTTTCGAATATTTTCGAATGGTAGACCGCGATATCATAATGCTGTTTTGTTCGAAATTTAGCAAGGCTACTTGTGTATTGTGGGAAGATTCATATGCATTTCTCTACCATCTTATTCTTACTTTCTTAATTTGAACTCTCTGGTTTAGTTCTTACGTTCTCATAGGTTTCATCTGTGCGATGTCACAATGAACAGAGTAAATTAAAACTCAATTAACTGAAGGAGTGGGTGAAAACTTTAGAATAATCTTAAAGTACCTCTCCAGCCTAAAAATAACGATCGTAGGTTTTCACGCATATCGCAAATTTACGTGCCTTCAATTACGCTGCTGAATTATCAAAGCGAAATAACTAAAATTTCATTATAAAATTAACTCGAGAAGCTTACCTTTTGATGCACACATTTTTGTTTCGTTACTCGACGTGACAAGATGTTACAGCCTTTAATCGTATCGTCACGGTTTTTTCGGTTCCCCCTTACCAACATCGAGCCGCTTTCCTGAAACACGCGAGATGTATGTTGGATAAACGAGCAGATGTCTCAACGATCGGCTGTGAGAGCATCATAACAACATGAAAAAGACTGTCTCGGTCCTTCTAGAGATTCACTGCCGAGACTGGGGTTGTGACCCCCAGTTCTCAAAATACACTGGATTGGCGCGGAGTGGCGAACCTCTATTTAAAGAAATTATCGAGGCAGAGAAGACCGCGCGACTCGATGACTAGCGTATCAGCGCCCCTTCTCTTTCTTTATTCGCCAAAGAATTATACACTTGGCGAAGTAGTCACTGTAAGGCGCGCAGAGTTCCAGGCTGTCTTTTTTTTATTATGGTCCTGCTTTTTGCAAAGACCTAGAAGAAGGAATGTGTAAGTCGGCGCTGTGTTTGCCCCTCTATGTGCCCTTTTCTTTTGTCCTTGTTTGTTACGCTCTATTGCTGCTATTATGTACTGTACATGAGGTGCGTTGAGCGGCGTAACGCGATTGACGCGACAACAACAGGCGGTACGGCAGGAATGGAAGCAATGTATCGATGGCGAGGAGGGCGGAGGGAATCGGCGTCCTGATCCTCTTACGTCACGGCTCGTTCATTAAGTGAGTTGCAATACGGAAATTTTCGGATGCGGTTTACCTGCCTCATTAATGCGCATTAACTGGCTCATAGAGCGCAGCCGGCGTTGTCTGTAGCCGCAAAAAACGGCACCAAAATTCCGGCTGAGCGAAACGGCATCTTAATTCCGACTGAGCAAAAGGAGCAAGAAATTCCCATTGGCTGCCACACGTCATAGTTCCAAGGAGCGCCACCCCACAGAGAAGCCCTCTCCATGGCGCTGCGGCCCGCTGCAATAAAAAGGAGAGGGCGTCGCGCGCGCGGCTGCCCCCCTCTTCGCTCTTTCGTGTCAAGTGTCAGGCTTGGGCGGAGGCCCGGAGAGAAGGGGGGAAGGTGATCGGGAAATTCCCGCTCCCTCTCCTTGTGCTATATCATGTGTTCTACGCTCTGGTTTCTTATCTTGCTGCCCGACCAGGCTCTGCGAGGGACAGCGGGGCGCACTGCTTGTGGGAATGCGATCCGTGTACGTATGCTTTCGCATTCCTACATACAAGGAGTCTTAAGTGTCTTTCTACAAGTTTTTTTTTCTTCAAATCGCGAGCTGAAAAGCACTTTTACGAGGAAGTCCTTGTACCTGTCACTAAGGGTTTATTTGAAACTAACGACCCCCATTTTAGGTTGGAGAGGCCCTTTAAAACTGGATTGTTTCTGAGGCTTATTTATCCTTCCTATCCTGATTTTCGTTATCGTGAAGTCTTAGGTATTAACTGTCATTGATGCTAATATTAAAATAACAAAAGTTTTTTTAAAGTATTAATTGTAGTTTTATTACAACCTTTGTGGACCTCAATAAAACATCAACATGGGTGCTCAATATTATTCTGTTCTAATAAGATTTCCGTGGAATTTACAACATTAGCAGCACTTCATACTATATCTTTCGTCAGCCAGCATATTGTTGTCGTGTATATCAGGTAATCAAACCAAACAAAAGCTAATCGTGTATAGCAGGTAATCAAACCTGCCGCGTTCTTCGTGATTCTAACAAGGCGTTGCGCAGGATGGGAAGGCAAAGTAGACGACGGTGTTTTTTGATCGACAGACCAACACATTAGAACCTTAACGTCTAATATTGAGAGCGGTAGTAACGACAATGAAGTGTAAACTTATGCTCCAAAATTTATTTTTGCTGCTCCGATATGTATTTTTACCTGCTCCAGAAAGGGTGCTCCAAAATGACTCAGACCGATCACATCACTGCAAACTTTTTGTGTAATACGCGAGAAAGCGCCGATGGCATCTTCAAGCTAATTGTATCGCACCGTGTGACTATCTAAATCTTTCACTGCGAAAGCTAAGCAGGAGAAGGAATGCGCCGAAATTATTTGAGGGTGTACAAAACCACACCATTTGTTTACCATGGCAAGTCCGTGTTTCTTTGAGACAATCAGGCAATAGAAATAGAGAGATTGATATTAATGTGTTCATGGCCTTACAAAACAAACTACTGCTACAGTCTACATTTTTCTACGAGGTGATTATTATAGCAAATTGTGACTACCTGCTGCGCGAGCACGAAGGACCGATGAGAGGCCCAGTGTCTTTTGAATTCTGCTTAACCGTTTCTAATTTTTGTTATCTCATAAATTTTTTTCTCGATAAATTGATCGCATCACCTTAAACGTTTCGTAACATTAGTGCAGCTATCCCACACAACCGTGACTCCTAGCTCGTTATGGCCGCCGTCTTGTTGTTTCCTGAGACGCCGTTCTCTGATCCGTAGACTACCGGCGGAGACATCTACCCGAAGTGAAACAGCAGCCACGTTTCCTCCATTTCTCGCAGCAAGTGCGAGCTGTAAATCGGCTCGTTAGAGACACCCCAAGGGGTCATCCTCGGAACGGCGGCAGGAGTGGTCCGGGAGAAGTCGTAACCCTGACATGTCGCGAGAAAGCGCGTCGGCCATGGCGTCTCCGGGACGGCCCAGTTGACACAGGTTTCCTCTTGCGCCGCCCGTCAAGGACCTAAAGGAGGCAATTAAGATGGCGAGGGAAAGAGGAGAGAGGCTCGGAAGCAAGGATACATACGCACCGGTCTCTTTGTTTATCTTGCGCCCTTGGTTTTAGGCGGAAGAGTGAGTCACGCTGTGACGGACAGAATTTTTGCTAATATTTTATGCTGTACCTACTGTGCACCAATCTGCGTCCTTTTATTAGAAACGAAAAAACAAAAACAACAACGACAGAAATATATGTTTTGCTTAGCGAGAAATATGCTTATTGGCAAATCGAAAATTAAGGATTGACAGAGTAAGATATTTAAGTTACGACCTTTTTACCGAGACGCAGGGAAATGAAACACATTCACATTCAAAATAGTTCTTGTCGTTAAGTACAATTTATAGTATAAAAGGTCTAGCTCAATCAGGGATTTGTAAAACGACAGACTATGTACCGCAAAACTTAAGTTCCACCTGCTGTGTGCTGAACTCAGGTTGGTCGTCAGAAACATTTTTTTTAGCTGCAATTGTTTTTTAATTTTAATTCTCTGCATGTACTTTAGATTGACACAACCAGAATTAAAACAGTGAGCACCGAAGATAAGAGTGTAAATAGGGACGTTTAGCAAACTGCTGCCGAGTTCGGCGTACCGCACTACCGGAGCCTTTGAAGCATGCTTTTAAGCACGCGCCCGGCAGTCACGGTACCACCAGGGCGCGCGCCTAAAAGCATGCTTCAAAGGCTCCGGTAGTGCGGTACGCGGAGCACGGCAACGGTTTGCTAAAGGTCCCTAATATCCTGTATTCCGACAACTCGTCTTTCCTACAACGCTTAACCCGGCAGTTTTTTTTTTTTTTTTGATAGCTATTAAAATACTTTATGTCTCTGCCGCGTTCCAGCTGTGCATGCAGAAAAGTCGACAAAAATTTGCCGGCTGCGCGATCGTTAAATTGGCGAAGACTTGAACATGGGAAGCAAAAACAAGACAAAGGAAACGGAAAAGAGAACAGAAATGGGGAGGGATAAAGGTAGTATAGAAGAAACAAAATGACGGATGTTTATTTCTTTTGTTAGTTGGAAAATACCAAATCAAGATGGTGGGTGGGTTCCAAGAAACTAAAAAGGAAAAAAGAAAAGATAACGAGACAAGTCTCCGTTTCTTGTTTTTGATTGTTTATTCGCGGAGCGCACCGTTCGAGCGACGTGCAGCGGAAGCTACGACGTATCTCAGCCAATCCGATACCACGTGTGCGTCACATGACCACATGACCATGCGATCCATCCGATTGAATGGGTTGCGCCGTACCGTCCGCCGCGGACTGTCGTCATAAGAAACGGAGCACAGCCTCTTCCCTTTCACTCTCGCTCAGAAAAGTGCACCCGGGGAAAGGATGTGTGTAAAAGAAAGAAAGAGAGAGAGAGGGCAACGGGAGAGAAGGAAAGTTGCCGGAGTTTGCCGTGGATGGGAGGGAAGAGGGGGGGGGGGAAGAGCAGGAGCACAGCAGTGGGCATCCCGGATGCAGAATGATCCCGCGAAAAGCCCCCGCTTCTCTCACTCGGTGTTTCGGTCGTGGTCCGGACCGTGGCTTCGGCTTTCGAGCTCCGCCGCGAGTCGTCTTGACTCTGTTTTGACAGACGCGGTCGGAGCACGGACGCGTGGACGTTCCGGGAGACGAGGTGAGTTTAAATTTCTACTCTGTCCTATCGTGGTTAAAAGACTGCTTAAAATGTTTCGTTAAATGTAGCCCGAATACTTGCGCGTTTATATCTAAAGCACTCTGATAAACATTAGTTTGCAATTAATTTCGAAGGCAGTCGTTGCATCTCGCTCGTCATTACGCAAGTGAGAAGCGCGAAATTCTCTTCTTATATATAGATCTATGATCTGCGTGCTGAGGCAGCGGTCGAATTTGTGAATAATATAAAAATGCTTCCCTCGTTTTGAGTATTTTAAATTTTATGAAAGCGCCCCAATTTTGTTTGTTCTAACAAAATGAACCGCAGCCAAAAAGTCTGGGTTAAGATATTCAGCAAGAAAACATGCAGCTATGTTTATCCAATTACCTTAAAAATGTTAAAATATCTTGAAACCCGTTCCAGTCTCTGTTTCAGGCCTCAGTCTTGGCGTTTTTCTTGTGTTTCTTTTTTCCCTCAAGTATCAAAACCATGACTCGAAATATCATAGCAAGAACGTCTAAAATATTCTAAAAGCTTTTTTATTGGTATCAAAACACATACTTCGCTTTCAAGATGTATACGCAGGTGTACGTAGTCATAAACACCCTCAAGCTTCTCATAATTCACAAAATTTGTGGCGTTGTTGTTTTTCTTCCGACAGATGCAAAGGACACAAATATGCATTCAGAGAGGGAACATAGATGGACGTACATACATGAAGGTCTGATCTGTCGGTCCGTTCATGTTTTCTTTCTAAATAAATGTATCGTTTAACCACGCCGGTCATCCCGACTAATGCAGAGCAAGTCGCCCTCTTTTTATGGGAACGTTTAAGGTTGGCGATGTGACTTTTAAGTAATTCGACCGTTCAGATAGCACCATTTGTAACAAAAAATGATATAGTACGAAGACAAAGGCTCATCGTGAGCCGAAAGTTGTATTAGAAAACCATTAGCACCCAAGGAAGTATACCAAACAAAAAAAGACACGCATAATCAAGCAGAAAACACGTGAACTTCGTATCTGCAGTGGCTAAATAAATAATATGAATGGTATTATTCCTTCACAAGAAAAACTCAATATACAAAAGCAAGTTGGTTATCGAAACAAATACCCGTATATAATACACGTAATTAAAGTCGGTGTTCGTCTGCTAAGAGCATGTGCGGACAAGTAATAATTGCCTGCCAGACGCTCGGCAACAAGAGAAACAATTGCCGTCCACTCGGCTACACAAGATAAACAGTCAACGAGGGTAAATGTCAGAGCCAGGTGCCCGGACTTAAGTACCTGGGCAAAAATCCTCAGACCCAGCATTTTGAGTGACGAAGTCGACAAAAAAATAACCAGGCTGTGACTGTGTTAAAAACAAAGCGAATGAAAAAAGAAAGGCATGTACGCTGTACATGACATTTTGTGGAGCTTTGAAACGTCTTCACAATTTTGTTGATGTTCCAAGGTGTACGTTTTTTGCAGTGTCGAGTGCATACAAACGGGCGCGTGTTCGTTTCTTTAGAAGAGCTTCCATCTTGAGACTAATGGAAAGTCAAGGGCACAGTGCCGCTGCTCATTAAAGTACACACTAACTGCGCGCTACCTAAATGAAGAAAAGCGCGGGCGGAGAAGAACAAGTAGAGGACTGTGATTAACGAAGAAAGGGTAAAGGCACAGGCGAACTGGTGAAGAACTTCCATCGTAAACCGGAGACACGGCAAAAAAAAACAAAAAAAAAAACGGACAAAACAACAAGAAATTTGTGTATGTACTGTATTGGTGTGATTAGTTGTATTTCCGCGCACCCGAAAGTAAGTTTTAATGCAGCATAAAATAAAATTTTACTGAGCTTCTAAAGACAAAGAAGCCCGTTACCTGTGCACAACCACCGATTTTCCGGTTCATTGCTATCTCCTCACAAAAATAAGTAAAAACTATAAACGTCGGCCTCTCTGACGATTATTACTTAGGACAGCCGACTGTCGGCTTCTGGTATGCAAGAATAATTTTGAATTTTTATATACGCATATAAAGCTTGTAGATATGTCTCTATGTCACTTTTTATAACAAAAATAGCTTGTGTGACGTCAGAAGTCTGTATATAAAACGGCGTTCTTATTCTCCAAAAAAAATTATTTTGAATTAGTGCTGTGTAAAATAATTTAATTTTCTGGAATTAGATAAAAATAAGGGAAACAAATAATAATTGTTGTCACCTTCAGATTTACTACCGATACTTCTTGGCACAATCATCCGATTATTTAAAGAGAAATGCTTCAAGCACTAATTTTCAAACGTTTTTTTTTAATGGATTAATAAAACCTTCATGGAAAATTGCCTTTTTTTCGACATGCTCGCTGATATGCTCATAATATTGGCAAGGGTACATAACCGTAAATAGCTTTCACTTCGAGCTAACAAAAAAAATCATGTAGAAAAGTACAAATGAGTGGGTGTATGGATAAATGAGGGAACAGAGTATCTAAAAGGACATGAAGATATTGTAATAAAGAAGGGGAAACGAGATTCAGCTATTATGGAACACAGGGCACACTGGAACTATATCAGATATAAGGCTTAGAGATATAGCAAAGGACTGTGGGTAGGTTGGCATTCGGGTCACATGGGACTACACCAAATGAGGGAGTATGATGGCATATGGGTTCGGCATCTTTCGAGAGTAGAGAAACGATCAGTAAAGTAAACTTTGAACAAAGACTAGCTGAAATTGAGGATACACCTGTGGGCAGGACAAGTGTACAAGTATCTATATATGAAATGTATAAACACTAAGTGGACAAACCGAACCCGCAAGTTGAAGTATAAATACATTGAACGAGATGGAGCCATAGATCAGTAGAAAGTAGGGTAAAGGGAGCAGAATAAATTGTGGGAAGAGAGAATGCATGAAAATCAGCTTTAACAATAAAGAGGGCACAAAAGCAAGAAATAAGGAAGGAACAGTTGTATGATAATTCATTGGGGAGCTCATTGCTGTTTGCAGCTTGTACGGAGGTGCAAAGTACAAAAACATATAGGGCTAAATTCCAGGAAATAGACACTCTATGCGACGTATGCAACCGGGAAAGGGAAACTATAGAACATGTCATTTTTAGGTGCACTGGGCTTTGTCCCACCCTGTTAGGGTGTATGACAACGGATTTGGAGGGGGCACTGGGATTCGGAGACATGAATGAACGAATGGATAGGGAAAGAATTGTGGTAACTAAGAGGAGATTGGAAGAGTAGTGGAAAAAAAGCTAGGGAGGGGTGAAAATACAGATAAAAATAAGCAATGGGAACACTTAGAACCAAATTCATACAAATTTAGAAAAGAAGGAATGACGAAATTTTAGGCTAGGTGAGGCAAGCTGCCGCCCGTTACAAAGGTTATGACCATTACCACCATTCATCTATTCAATGAGGGTGGTCACTGTTCTACTTTGACAATTTATTTACCTCTCTTTAACGGCGCCGACATCTCTGAAGCATGAGAATTTAGTGCAATAAAGTGGTCCGCACCCTTTCTTATACCGAGCATCAGAACTGAAATATATCGTACACCGGCGCCTCCGTGTGTCATTGAAAGTCCCATGGATCCCATCACACTAAACATCTTACTGATGCGCAGTTAATCTATTTCTCTCGACAGCATTGACCAGTCGGCAAGCACCACTACCATTACTGCTACTGCTTTTAGTAAATATGGTCTTTTCTGAGTTTATATAAGACCGATAGCTTTTTTATTCCACCTTAAATGACTGTGAAAATCAAAATCAAAACTTCCGATGGAGGAATAAAAATAAAACCAACCTGGCTTTAGATTAGTGTTATTACCTTTATGGAAGAGTACTATATCGTTGCGCGACATACACTAGAAAAGTCTATAAAATCTATAAAATTTCAAAGGATAAGCCAGTAGCTTTCACGAAGACTTAATTTATTACTTTCCGAGGCGCCATGTGTCGCATCGTGAGTTGGAGATCCAGTCACGGATTTGAAATATCGACACTGAAGAGGGATCCGCAAAGCTTTGCACCGTGTATGGAATGAATCTTTCGAGAAAAAAAAAAGGATTTTCTTCCCAAATGCCCCAAGAGCTGATGCAAGGCGCGCATTTATTTATTTATTTTTGCAGAAATTTAAGCCTTGAAGCGGCTTTCTTGGTCGATCCGTAAAATGCAAACACTGTTGGAAAGTTTTAAAACGTAAATGTCTTCTTTTTTAGCAGGGTGTCTGGAAGGTTGCGAATTTCAAAACACTAGGAGAAGCTATGTTTACGAATGGTGGCTAATGTTCTCCCCCTGTATGCTTTAGGATGGTTGGCATTTTTAAGTGTATATTACACTCCGTTTCGTCATGACTTAAAAAACAGTAAAAGCTACGCCCCCCCCCCCCCCCCCCCCCCCCCCCCCGCAAGCCCATCAGAGCGTTGGAGCAAGACCTGTCGCAACAAAACCTCGCCGAGCACTCCTCCGGAGAAAGCTGTAACATGCTTCGCTTCGTTTCTGATTGACCAATGGGGGTCCGCAGCTTTCGCTCTTTGCCAAGATATGCTGAAACGGAGTATGACACTATATTTCTTAAGAACTATAGGCACAGCGCACGTCAAGCTGCAAGGCTCTGCACCAAAAGCATATATTATTAAGGCGAATTCATCACCTTTTCCGGTCGATGCTATGAAGGAATTGTTCAGTAAAACGTAAAGTGTGCGCCGTGACCACAAGCTTTTCGCATGTTTGTGTAGGCAGCTGTGTTTTTATAACATTATTGAGCGTTTAATGAAGTAGTTATTAAATTTATTATTCTATCAGTGCCCGGAGGTATTACATACATTAGTGGTTTAGCACAGACGCGCAGATGTAGGCACTAGTAGCTTTCTTGAAAGTAATTATTGTATTTTGCGAATGCTTTAAAAAAGTAGGTGGTCGTGAAAAAAAAAAAAAAAAGAAACTATTTTTGGGAACAAATTTTCAGTCTCAACAACCGACAAAATTGAGAAAAAG